GTGCTGCCTCGTTTTCCACGTGTCTTGCTTCCTTGGCAGCTGCTGGCGTCCTTCCAACTTCTCCTTTCTTCTCCCTGTATCTCCACTTAGATTTCCACCTGGCTCTATTCTGCCTGGCTATTGGCCACGTCAGCTTCTTTATTAACCAATGGTAATGAAACATATTCACAGCATAGAGAAAGACATCCCACAGCTCCGATGTTTTGTTTCTTCTGTGTGATGGGCACAGCACTTATATTTATTGTTTTCACTACTACGTGGTTCAACTCTCTTTTTTTTCTTTGGGTGCATGGTTTTATTGATTGTAACATGTAACATGTCTAGTCACGGTCATCAGGGCCCACCACAAATAGCTGTGTGTCCTTTCATCGTCGCTCCTGGAGTGGTCCACACATTTCACGTGCCATGTACTCCAACAGCACCAGACGGCCTGTCTTCTGAACTCAACTGGGCTGTGCATCCTCCTCCGGGGTGTCAACATCACAACTCGGGAACGGAACGCTGGTATTCTCATCCTCAGCTCTTGGCTGAGTGACCAGCGCAGAAGCTGACACTCTCAGGGAAGGCTGTGTGGCTCGTCTCCAACCCTCGCTATCCATGCTTCAGTTCTACCCCTCTCCTTTATTTGTCCTTTGCTTTTGTGTAAGGAGATGGGTGCTGAGAGAAATTAAGAAATGAAGCCTCCCGCTGGGCGTGGTGGGTACAGGCTGTGGATGCTGGGAAACCAGTGGTGTGCATAACCACTGAGCCATCTTTCCGGCCCGTGATTATGTTTTTTAAAGGCAGTGAGTTAATAACAAAACAGGGCTGGCAAGATAGCTCAGCAAGTAGAAGTGCTTGCCATTCAAGCCTCACAGCATGAGATCCATCTCCTGTAAAAAGCTAGAGGCAGTGGTCTTTAATCCCAGCACCCTTGTGGCAAAGTGAGGGGAAAAAATCACTTAGAAGTTCACAGGCCAGCAAACACACGCACGTGCGCACACACACACACACACACACACACACACACACAGTCACACAACACAGCAAACACAAGGGAGGCCCTGCTCCAACAAGGCAGAAGGAGAGAACCAACTCCCAAAAATTGTCCTCTGGCCTCCACATACACACTGTGGCATCTGTGCGCCTGTACACTCATGTTTGGGTGCGTGTGCGCGCGCACACACACACTCACACACACACATACACACCCTCACACACACATACACACACTCACACACACACACACTTACACACACTCACACACATACACACACTCACACACACATACACTCACACACATATACTCTCACACACTCACTCACACACACACCACACACACATATACACTCATTCACACTCACACACATTCACACACTCACACCATATACTCTCACACTCACTCACACACACACACACACTCACACACACACTCACACACACACACACTCACACACACATTCACACACTCACACCATATACTCTCACACTCACTCACACACACATTCACACACTCACACACATTCACACACTCACACCATATACTCTCACACTCACTCACACACACATTCACACACTCACACACACACAAAAGTAAGAACCTCTTTTAAAAAGTGAAAGTACATAGGCATATCAAGGGGATTAATTATGTCAATGTGATTCTTAAAAAATAGCTATTTATGAAGTGACATTATGCCTCATTAATGTAGCAAAAAAAAAATGAGAACTTGGGTGTGGATTTGGTTACATCTGTAACTTCAAAGCATTTGGAAGTATTTGGAAAGGCAGTGCTGTTGGGTCCTTGGAGGGGAGAAGGTTCTGCTGAGACCATCATTGCCCTGTAGCCCTAACAGGAAATTCTAAACTTGGAAGATTTGTGAAAAATAGAGGTTCATTGCCTCTTTGAATTCTGTTCATTGATGCCCTAAATTGAGACGCAAAAAGCCTGGCCATTCTTTTTTGGTGCCGGCACCTGGTTTATTTTGCATTTTTCTTTCCCTGTTTTACCTGCCTTAGGTTCCAGAATGCTACGTAAACACATCACCCTTTCTTTTCCATGGCTGCAGCTCTTGTCACAGAAGCTGACAGGCATGGCTACCCAGATGCCATGAAACCAGCCTAACATGAAGCCCAAAGGCAGATTGGTAGAGCCTTTGTGGCTTCCCCAGCAAGGCTGCCGAGGCCCACGCTCTTCTGACTTCTGTACCCATCATCCTGGGCCTATAGATTTCAGCCTCGTTTGTCTGTTTGCAAGGGGCTAACTCTGCTTCCGGGTACTGATCCTGAGACCCAAGCAGGAACTGGGAAGGGTGGGGCGGGGGAGAAATAGGGCCGCAAGGCAGTCTGGGAGCTGTCACCGTCCGGGTCACCCGTAAGGAGAAGGTAGAGCAAACACCGGATGAGTCCCGACTCCCTAATTGGTATTAGGTATTCCCCGTGCCCAGGCTGGCGGGCCTCATCACCTCCAAGTCCCCATCATGTTTCCCCCACTTTCCCAGCCACACTGATCTGTGTGTGCACTCCAGAACATGGAGAGTCTGCCCCTCATTTGCCAGAGAACTGAAGGCGTAAAGGACTCACCAAGGTCGTGTTGTGATGGTAGCGACAACAGCTGCCCCTGTGTGTGTGTGTGTGTGTGTGTGTGTGTGTGTGTGTGTGTGTGTGTGCACTTGGTACATTACACATAGTTGTCACTCAGCATACATTGCTTATAGTCCCCTTAACTCCTCCCCCATAGGGTGAATATCACCCTCAGTTCCTATCAGGAAATCACGGCAATAAGACACACACTTTGCACTGCCAGGCCATTGCCTGACCCAGCCATGGCTGAACCGGGGGCTGGGGGGGTACTAGCCCCCACCCAGGTAATCTGTGTGGAAACGGTGTTAGCATCCAAACCCCTGACCCTTAAGGCATTTCCTTTCCACTTCGCTGGGTTCTGAGTTCAATTTCTAACTATTCTTCGGCTATCCGATGCTTTTAGTGTCTGTGTTTCTGCCTGGGTTTGATTGAGTTCGTTTTGGGGACACAGGCTGCTAGCAGGAACCTTCAAATTCTCTCAGTCTTTCACAGTAAAGCTTGAGTGACAGCATCTCCATGGACGGCCTTTTGTGACTCTTGGGCTGAAGGCCGAAACACTTTGAGTAGACATCCGTGCCTCCTCCGCATGGCTCTCCGTCCTCATGCCGCCTCTGGGCCACGCGGCTGCGGTATGGTGTCCTGCTTGCCGCCTCTGGGCCACGCGGCTGCGGTATGGTGTCCTGCTTGCCGCGTGTGTGCTTTCTGCCACTGGGTCTCTGCACCTGCTGCTGTTTTTGTCTAGGGTTGCGTCCCCTCCCTTTCTTACTCACAGACTTCTCAGACGCCCTCAGCCCGAGCCTCACAACCCCAAGAACCTCTTCCTGTAGCCCTGGCCTCCTGTTGATTTGAGTGATTTCGCACTGGATTATTAAAACACCTTTTTTGTTTGTGTTTTTCAAGACATTTCTCTGTCTAACAGCCCCAGCTTTCCTGCTGTCCTGGAACTCGCTCTGTTGACCAAGTTGGCCTTGTGCTCACAGAGATCCGCCTGCCTCTGTCTCTCCAGTGCTGGGAAAAAGGCGTGCGCCACCATGCCCAGCATGTCCGGTACACTTTATGACCAATCTTCTATTACTGCTGCTAAAGTGCCTGTCGTTTGCATCTTACGCTTGTGTATTCTAGCGGCGTTTGGAGACAGGGTCTCAACTCGTCTCCTCGTTCATGCCAGCATTCCCGGTGCTAGGGTCGCAGGTGTCTACCACAGTGCCTAGCTCGCACGTGTAATTTAGACGTACGGTTTCTAAAAGTGCTCATCTGAAAGAACTGAGAACCCTGGCAGAGGGCGGGGGAGATGGGTGGGGTAAAGTGTTGGTTGTGCAAGCGCGAAGACCTGTGTTCAGATCCCCAGCGCTCACATAAAAGCTGGCTGTGGCCTCGGTGTGCCCATGACCCCAGTGCTGGAGACATGGAGACAGGCCCTTCTGCTCAACCCGCTTGGCTAAAGAGTGAGCTCTGGGTCCCTGCCATCTTGAGTGAAAGAGCCTGTCTCCAAACCTCCAGCCGATGGAGCTGCAGAGATGGCTCAGCAGTTACGAGTGTGTCCTGCTCTAGCGTTCTGCTCCCAACACCCAGTTCAGGCACCTAACATCTGTTTGTGAGTGCACCTCCCAGGGGATCTGGTGCTGGCGGCCTTTAGACAACAACACTCACTCGCACAACAGACACAAGGCATGATTAATCAAAAACCGATCATTTGGAAAAAATACGAAGATGGGCATCAGTAGAAGAGGTGTGTCAGTCTCTGGCTCCCACATGCAGTCCCGTGTGTGAGTTCTCTCACACTCAAACACACACCCATAGAGAGAGAGAGAGAGAGAGAGAGAGAGAGAGAGAGAGAGAGAGAGAGAGAGAGACCCTAGCATGAACTAAACCCCTGATAGAGGAAGGAATACAAACTGCACATAGATGATGTCAGTTGCATATTGTGTGGACTGGGCTAGGCTTCTGGGTTAGCCAGGAAGCATGTTTTAAGAATTCGGGATGTAGAACAGGGAAGAAGGGGCGGTTGTCTGGGGTAAGGGCATCGATGGAGGAGACCTCACTCCTTTAGGAAGGCGCTTTCTCCGGACTCCAGGGCCAAGCCTAGTCTGGGATTGCAACTTCTGAGAGGTGAGAGATTAAACGTTAAAGCCGAATGCCCGCTGTAGGTCTCACCTTTCTATGGAATTTCCTCCCAAGTCCTAGGCGCCTAATTAGAGCCGCATCCTTTGCAACAAGGGGTGACCTAGTTAGCGGTTCATGGTTAGACCTCCTGGGACCACTTCATCCCACATCCCATGGGTGTGGCTAGCATCACTGGCTTTCCTGAGGGCCCTTCTCTCCGCATTCGCACCGTGTTTGAGGCCATTATTTTCAGACCAGACTGGATTGTGCGTGGGCTGGCAGAGGCCACCACCCGGAGTTCTCATGTCTCTCCTGTCGCCCTCTCTCCCTTCCCCCAGGAGTCGGAGGGCATCTCCTGCCACTACTGGTCTCTGTTTGACGGCCACGCAGGCTCGGGGGCCGCCGTGGTGGCGTCGCGCCAGCTACAGCACCACATCACACAGCAGCTGCAGGACATCGTGGAGATCCTGAAGAACTCCGCCATCCTTCCCCCAACCTGCCTAGGGGAGGAGCCGGAGAGCACGCCGGCCCACGGCAGGACCCTAACGCGCGCAGCCTCGCTGCGTGGAGGTGTGGGGGCCCCCGGCTCGCCCAGCACACCACCCACGCGCTTCTTCACTGAAAGGAAGATCCCACATGAGTGTTTGGTCATCGGGGCCCTGGAGAGCGCCTTCAAGGAAATGGTGCGTACCCTGGACCACTGGGGCAGCTCCGTCCAAAGCTTTCTTGCTAGGACAGTGTCTGTGAATTGCCCGTGCAAGGTCTTCTTGCCTGCTCCCTAGTGCTCATCTCTAGTCTACAACAAGGCTTCTTTAAAAAGTCACAGCAAGATACAGTTTCTGGAGTGACTGCCAGCAGGAATTAAGATCGGGAGAGAGGGCGAGCATTCTGGTTTTTAGATGTATGCCTTATCCGTTCTGTTCATAGGACTCCTATTGACACCAGCTGGTGTCAACTTAATTGGAATGTGAGCGTGGCTACCATTTGTTTTACACACGCGGGAAGTCCAGGTGTTTAGGAAACCATGTTCAGTAAAACACTCTCAGAGTGAGTACCCTTCCTTTAAAAATGAGTGCAGACCGGCCTGGCACGTGCAGCTAATCCCAGCATTTGGAGGCAAAGCCAGGTGGATATCTATGAGTTTGAAGCCATCCTGGTTTATGTGTCCAGTTCCAGGACGGCCAAGGCTCCACAATGAATTAGCTGGGCGGTGGTAGGGCAAGCCTTTAATCCTAGCACTTGGGAGGCAGAGGCAAATGGATCTCTGTGAGTTTTAAGCCAGCCTGGTCTACAGGGGAAGTTGCGAGACAGACAGGCTCCAAAGCTACACAGAGAAACCCTGTCTCAGAAAACAAACAAGCCAAAACAAAACAAGCGGATGTAATTCGTTCTGTTCAGCCAGTGGTGCCTGGAGAGCAGCTGAAGGAGGAAAGAGGCCCACATGGCTTTTGGTTTTCCAGGGCCTGGACTCCGTTATGCTTTGCTGTCTGGGTGGGTCTGGTCAAGGAGCATGTACCCTGGCAGAGCGACATTTACTGTCCCTCTGCCTTGCTGTCCCAATGCCCGCAGGCTAGACATGATACTATATACCATGTGGCAACCCAACCTCCCAGCTCTGACGTCACCTTTTACTTAGGCAGGTGTTGTGGTTCCAAAGGTTTTCTCCCTGAGCACTAGCCTGTGTATGGATAGAAAGCATGGACTACTTAAGGTTTGGAAGGACTTGAGGGGGGCCAAAAGGCAGAGTTTTTAGAACCTGAAGATCAGAATATGATGGTGGGAAGCCGTTCGGTGAAGCCTGCGTGGCTGGAGCACCTCACCTGATGTGAGGATCTACCTTCACCATCCAGGACCTTAAGACTTCACTCTAGGGCTGGAGAGATGGCTCCAAGGGCCTGAGTTCAATTCCCAGCAACCACATGGTGGCTCACAACCATCTGTAATAAGATCTGGCGCCCTCTTCTGGCCAGCAGGGATACATGTAGACAGAACTCTGTACACATAATAAATAAATCTTAAAAAAAAAAAAAGACTTCACTGTACATGCCCTAGTCAGAGGAGAAAAGCAAACATAGTTCCTTATTTATTTATAAGGAACCAAGTTCATATATTTCATATATTAATACCTCAAATTTACTCAAATTTACCTGTTAGTCCAGCTCACCCCTTCTTGCTGGGTTTTCATGTCTCTGATTAGTGAGGAGTTTAAAATGCACCTCCTCTGGAAGAGACGATTTAGGGAAAAAACCAGGAGTCGAAGTAGAAAAGTTTGACTCCTACAGAGTTGGCACAAAACTGTCCCTCTGGTTGGTGTAGAGGTTCTGGTGTCGGTGACTACAACCAGATACCAGTGGTGCACGGGACTCTGATCGTTTAACAGAAGTAACAGCTCAACAGTGACCTCTCAGAAAACAGGGACAGGGTGGGCATAGGGATTTTCGTTTCCATCCACGGTTGCTGGCAATGCAATCTTTTGCCTGGAACTGCTGTATTCTCAACTTCGCCCACTAGAGGGCAGTGTCACATTGATGACAGTCTCCCTAGGAACAGCAGCCCTTGAAGTGTGCAGCTTATTAAAACGTGTAAGAGGAGTCCAAGGTTTGTCTTTTCAGCAGCCTGAAATTTCTTGTGAAAACAGTTGTGCATGTGCATGTGCACTGTGTGTGTGTGTGTAAACAGATGTCACTTTTTTGCAGTCCATTCAGTCAGTAAATATTTGCTGAGAAACTACTCTCCGTCAGGCTTGAATGGCAGTAGAACATAGAATAAAAATAGAAAAAGTCAGATATTGAACAAGTGAAATGAGAGAGAGTTGGGGGAGAGAAGGAAGAGTTAGGTTTGAGCTCGAACTCTCGAGGCAGGCTGAGCAGTGTTGGGGGGGGCGCTCTGGTAGCTCTGAGACGCTGAGGCTCGCGCCAGCTCCTGGGAATAAACGGTAAGTGCATTATCTAATTAGAGGGACAGTTATTGCTCCCATCACCTTAGCATGTGACACAGATATCCTGGGGTTCGTCTCCTGGCCAGATGATTGACAGGCTGAGCTGGATTTTCGCCCAAGGGAGTAGACAGTAGTATATATAATGTTCTGTGTTTGGAGCAGATCAGACAAGAGCCCTCAGGGGGCCTAAGGAAGTGCAGCTGTATTGTCTCCCGTTCTGCTACTCCCCAGGGAGACAGGAGGGTGCCCATTCCTCGGTATCGTTAAAGGCTATTAATTCCTGTAGCGATGCGCCACACATGTCTCAGTTATTTTTATGTTCTAAATAATGTCAAAGGAAGTAACACAATGATGGCAGCAGTCCAGCATATATTTGGAAACCCCAAGCCGGAACAAGGAACACCTGTCTCTAGGGCACATAGGTGGTTTTCACAAAATGTATACTAACGAGGAGGAGGAGCATGGTTTGAACAAGAGGCGGTGAAGGCAATTCTAGCAGGTGCTCTATGCTCCTGAGACTGTTTCTTTTCGTCTTTGATGCTTGGGTTGCCTGCACGGGGTGAGGTGTGTGGGGAAGGGGACCTCTGGCCACTGGCATGCAATGCTATCAAGGACATGGTTAGCCCTACAACTCCTTTGTTGTATCATGTCTTGGCTCGGACTTCCACTGGGAAGGCCATGGAGTCAGTGCCCCCTGTTTCCACTGTGGGAAACAAACTCTGGTCCTCCTAAAGGAAGATCTCAGAAGCCCAGCCACTGACTGCTTGGGATGAGCGTCAGAACTCTCAGCCTAGAAATGATGCCAGGACCCTCAATTAGTAGCCTAATAGTTACTGTCGACTCCTGTAAAATCCATTCTCTTCCCTGCTTCTCCTGGTAGCCAGGTTTTAGGGGGATTTTCTGTCTCAAAGCAAAATTTGGGGAGTTTCTGTTTTGTTTTTTGAAATACTAAACACAACCAACTTCTTTATATCCAATGTTGTGGGTTCAAGTCCAATTGCCAGCAATGATTTTCTAACAGTACTTGGCTTAGTCAGCTTGGTTGTTTCCTGGCCAGTATGACAGGTGTGAATGAGATAAATGTTCTGTTTTCTAGTTTTACCCCCCCCCCAAATGTTTAGGTTAATAGACAACACTTCAGACTCGTTGAGGAAGCCAATTCCCTGACTGGATTAACTGTTGAATGAAAATCAAGTCAGCACCGATGGGTTGGTTTTCAACTCACCGGCTACAGGATTGAACTCAGGATGAATCCAAGAGAATCTCCAAGTCATCGCCTACTTCCTCTCAGTATTTGTTAGGTAGCTAGCTGGACAGGTGTTGTTGGGCGTGGAGGCCATTGACAATGGACCCCTCCCTCGTGGCTGATCTGGACCCTCCCTGCCATTTCCCTGGTAACCCTGGAAAGGGGAAAAACCAAGATTGGCCCCCGTTTTATTTTAACTTATCGCATACAAAGATGCAGCTCCTTTCTTGTGGCCTGAAGCCTGGAATCCACCTCTAACCCTGCATGGAGACCTGACATTCTCATCAGTTCAGAATATTAGAACGCTACATCCCTTGTCTCCTTCCATAACGGTTAACCCAACCACGGGAGACCTGATCTCCCTGAGGACTTGCTAAGGCTGTGGGAGGAACTGGTTGGCCACTTAATTAAATGTACTGAAGGAGAGCCTTTCCCGGGGTACAGGGCCTTAAGGAGCGCCCACCATACACCCTGCTCCCTCTTGTGTTCCTTCTTTCTCCCTTTAGCCTGGGTATATTTCCCTGACTCAGGCTCTCCTCACTCTTCGATGGCCCTTCTCTCCTCCGCATGGAGCTGTTTGCCAGCCTTGAACCCTCACTCAAAGAGGCAAAGAGGCGTGGGTTTCTCTCTTTCCTCTTCCCCGTTTGCCAAGATTTACAGCTTGCTTGCTCTCAGAGCCAAAAAAACAAACGGTCCTGGAGTTTCCTTCTTCATAATGTGTTTCTAAGTTCTTTTATTGAGGAGACTAAGAACCCAGGAGGGCACTCGGGAGACAGAGGCAGGGGGATCTCTGCGGGTTCGAGGCCAGCCTGGTCTACAGAGCGAGTTCCAGGACAGGCTCCAAAGCCACAGAGAAACCCTGTCTTGAAAAACAAAAACAAAAGAACCCAATGGGACCCCAGTTTTCCCAGTATCAGTGAGTGTATAAGAAGAGTATCCCAGCAGCGTTTTGTAAGGGAGAGAATAGCATTTCTATTTTGAGGTTTATTTATTTTTATTTTGTGTGTATGGGTGTTTTGCCTGCATGGGTGTCTATGTACCGAATGTGTGCAGCCTCCAAAAAGCTGTGGGATCCCCCTTGAGACTGGAGTTTCAGATGGTTGAAACCCACTGTGTGGGGCCTGGGAATTGAACGGGGTCCTCTGGAAGAGCGGTCAGTGCTCTTAAGTACTGAGCCATGTCTTCGGCCCCAAAACGGGCACTATTTTAACTTGTAAAACTACATCTTCTATGACTGGCAAATGGCTGGGTGTTGGAGAAGCATATAAAAGCATGAGAATGAATGCTAAGGTTATTACTACTTTGTGAGTTCTAGAATTTCAATTAGCATATTCATGCCAGGTTTATAAGGTAAGCTGCCCTATTGAAGATTGGTTTTATTTAGTCTTTGTTTTTATTGTGACAGGAAGTTCTTTTAGGAAGGGATGGGTCTGGGCCTGGGATCCCACAGCAGTCGGCAGATGGCGATATCGCACAGTACTGGTTTTTAAAAAAAAAAATTTCCCTCCCTTTTGAAACTCATTGCCTAGCTGGCAGATGGCCTTGTTCTCGGAATAAACCAAGAAGAGACCCGGATACTAAAGCCGTGCAGAATCTTATTATTTGTGACTGACACTATTAGCAGTATGCTCAGAACTATATTATAACCCAGGCAGGGAGAGCTGCCAGGTATATTAAAACTGCTCCACGCTGGCTTTCTTCTGCTGACCAATAGTGCCTTCTTTTCTCATCCTGGAATTGATGAGTAACAAAGACTAAGCCTGGAGTTGCTTGTCTCTGAGACTTGCAAATCGAATTACAGACAACCATTCTGGGTAATAAATATTTTTTTTCCCTGTCAAGTGAGTCACATTTTACACACATCTTCTGTATTCCCACGCCCTGCAACAACAACCACCAAAGAAAAAAATAAAGAAGAAAGAAAGAAAGAAAGAAAGAAAGAAAGAAAGAAAGAAGCAAATAAACCCTCATATCCAAAGAATTGGCTCTTTGATTCGGAGATGAGCCTTACCGGAATGTGCTGTGTAAGCAGTTGCAATACCAAATCACTCGGCTTCCCTTGGTAGAATGTTGCCTTTGAGGGGGCCTCAGGACACTGGATTGAGCAGGCCAGTCAGGGAAGGGAGTCAGTGCCACCATCCATCCGAATTTAGACCGCACTCGGAAGGAGTGATGGTACAAAAATGGTGTACTAGTAATTCACTCTAGGTGTGTATCTTTGAGTCCACTGGCAGCTAAGATGGAAAGATAGTCCTTGACTTGCTTAGCACCCAGCAGTAGACAGCTTTCCTCAAGATCAAGATTATATTGGCTTATGGGAAGAAGGAAAAAAAAAAAAAAAAAAAAAACCTGAAACTTGAGGGCTTAAAAAAAAATAGTCGACATTGTGATTTTTTTTTTTAATACCTAATGTGTAAATGGATTAGGGTAATTTGAAAGATTGAGGATTTTGAAGGGGAAAGGCAGTTAATTCCATGGTAAATGTATCTTTATTGACTGCATTTATCATGTTTAATCTCATAGTAAAAGAGCCACCCAGATGGTTCTTTAATATCCCTGTCAGTATAAGATTTTCTGACTCTTTTAGGAAGAGTAGGTGGTGTATGTACGTAGCAAAAATAAATGTGCTATTTTGGCTTCTAGGGAGGAGGGGAACGGAGCAATTATTTTTAGAGTCTGTTCTAGTTGTGCTCGGTTTTAGAAGAAATAGAAGAGCGTGTGCTTGTGTCAGTGAATACTTCAGGGGGGTGAACCCTGCAGAAATGTGCCTTTCAAATGCTGCTGATAGTGCTGTCAGAGGGGACATGTTTGTAATTACTGCGTGTGCACATGTGTGATTTCCTCACGGGCATGGGGGATGGGCTGGTCAGAGCATGCATGTGGGAGCAGGATTTCTTGCATTACAAAACCGTGTGTGTGTGTGTGTGTGTGTGTGTGTGTGTGTGTGTAAGAGAGCGTACGCACCATGCCGTTAATTTATATTAAGGCCTGAGCTGAGTAAACTAACCCAGAATGTCTGTCCCCGGCATTAAAAGTAAATATGAGCTCTGCTGCTGTAACCGAGCATCTTCTTGAATGCTATCTTGATTCCCTCCTCCAAGGATTCAATAAATTTAAAACCAGACATTCTTACATTAGAAGCCATAATAAGTAATGTCCACGCCAACGACCCAGAATAAATTTATTTACCTCTATCCCTAGGAAATCCTTTGCCATGACCAGCCCTTTAACACGGACTCTCTGTACTACAGGGGTCCGTCCTCGCCCTCTCCCCCGCCCACCTCTCTTGGATTGCACTAATAATTCACTTAAGCCAGTCGAACATCATTCACATTCCAGTCCCTACGCAGCATACAAACTCTTGGATGCTTAAGGAATTTTTAATAAATAGTGCCTTTCATTCAGGCTTTTGCATTCAAACAAATATGGATCTCAGCTATGAAGGGGTAGTTTCTGTAGCTAGAATGCTCTTCAGTATAGTAAAGGCAGTAATGTTGGATGTGGACTTGGATATATCAGTTTATATCTTTATTATGTATTAAACCGGCAAATACTTATTGTATCTAAAGTGTACCTGTATTTTAGTTTTTTGTGGCAAGAAATTAACAAATCTATCCATGAAAGGATTCTTTGCGTTCTAGAAATGAAACAGAAAAGCCAGGGTTTCCTGATGGCTTCTCTCTCCCCCTCCCAGCTCCCATGTCCCTCCAATCATTTCAACTTGAGCTTCCTGCCATCAGTGCACGGGATGGCATAACACTTTCTCCTGTCCCCTGGCAGCCAGCTGCAAGGAGAGTTCTGGCCACATTGGTGTCTCAGGGCACATCTGCCTGGTAAACAGTGAATTTGTCCATTTCTCCTGTCATTGGTAAATGGTGAGAAGATGTTTGGAAATCCAGACATTTTTTAACATGTTTTTCTTCAGTAATAGACACTTAACTAAACCAGTGTTTACCTGGCCTGATACAGATGTTGAGGGGCTGAAAGGAACAAAAATGGTCACTGCTCTCAACTGTGAACTCCCCACACTGGAGGGGGGGCGTCCTGTGGCTGAGCCCCACCCTCTCCACACCTCCTAATTTAATCCTCTTAGTCGTCCTAAGAAAACGTTTATGTAAGTAAACGTTAAAATGCAGTATAGTCCTCAGAACCCTTCTCACGCTTGACCCTCTGCAACCTTTGAAACTACTGTCAGCCCACAGAGGCTCCTCGGTTCTCTTAAATTCACATACACACACACACACACACGCACACGCACGCACACACATGCGCGCGCACACACACACACCTTCCCATGGCTCCTCAGCTCCTTCCCTATTTCATTTCCTGTACATTGGTTTCTCCAACCTGACTTAGAATGTTTTTTTTTTTTTTTTCTACTTTTTTTTTTTAATGCAAGTCTTGTTATATAGCCCTTACCAGCCTGGACACATAGATAGCCCTTCCGCCCTCCATGCTCCTGCACGCCAGGGTTGCAGGCCTGTGCATCCAAATCCATCTTCTGCCTTCTCGCTAAGCAGTGGCTGCTCCATTCTGTGCCCTCAGCTTGGGCAACTCTTGGCGTTTGCTCTCTTGCCATCTCCGACACCTGGAGGACAGCCATTGTGGTCCAGTCCAGTTCGCTGAAGCAGCTAACCCCCGTACCCCTCAGAACAGCCGGGACACCATTTCTCCCTCTTGTAACTTTTACCCCACCCACCTTCCCCCTCACTCTGCCTCAGCAGTGGGTGGATCCCAGTGTAGAAAGAACACACAACTCCTGTTTCCCCAAAGACATAGCATCCGGCTCTTTGAGAAACCCTGAATTGATGTTGTCTATAACAGAAACGTTGGTCTGATTTTACCTTTTCTAAGGGTGCCTCATTACAGGGCAGGTGATACAGGGTTTGGGAAGAGAGCCGGTGTTAGAGTCTGCTCTCTGTCCAGGTAAATATGGGCCATGTCCCTGCTGCATCCGAACACTGTAGTTAGCGATGGCGCTCCTGAGGCTCCCCCCCGGTGATGAAGATTGGACATGCGTGGCGCTTAGCTCTCCGCCTGATGTAAAGCGTCTGTGGTCTGCTCCAGTGTTGGGAGTCTGTCCCACTGTGAACTGTGGCTACAAGGATGCATTCAGACGCATCTGTGTCGAACAGCAGACAGTTCATTAAGTCGCCTCTTTTTATCGGGCTATTAAAGAACTACTTATTCTAGGCTCTGCATTAAAAACAGAGTTTATGTTCAGGTACTTGGCATTCCTAACCTTATTCTGTGTCCACACGACCACTCAGTCAACCCCCGCGCAGACTAGCTTTCCCATAAGCTGTGGTGTCTGTCCGTTAACTCGGATTTACGTCTTCCTCTTCCCATATTTGCCGGACGTGTCTGTGTGTGGCCCTTTGGTTTCTGTCTCTGGCCTGCAGTGGCTCTGGTATTTTGTGTCATGTTCTCCAGTGAAGCCCATTAGGTCAGTGATTCTCAACCTATGAGTAGTGCTTCCCCATTGGAGGGGGGGGGGTCAAACGACACTTTCACAGGGGTCACGTATGTGATATCCTGCATATCAGGCATTTACAGTACAATTCATGACAGTAGCAACATTACAGTTATAAGTAGCGAAGAAATAATGTTATGCTGGCGGTCCCCGCACATGAGGAACTGGGTTAAAGGACTGCAGCGTGAGGAAGGTTGAGACCCACTGCGTTGGGTTCTGAGGATTGCCTGTCCTTCTGGAAGCACATGCAGACTTGGGGACTATACCAAGTGAAGGGAGGGAGGGTTCCTTCGGTGCCAAATCCCGCACAGTCACACGACTTTCCTTTCTTCTCCAGGACCTTCAGATAGAGCGAGAGAGAAGTTCGTACAATATATCTGGCGGCTGCACGGCCCTCATTGTGGTTTGCCTTTTGGGGAAGCTGTATGTGGCGAACGCTGGGGACAGCAGGTAAGCAAATTAGCTCCCCGGTTCTTCCAAACTTGCATACCCAGGGCCTCTGACAGTGTCTGCCTGCTCTGTAAGAATTAAGCGAGTGGGAAGAAAGTTACTGCCTTTAGGGTTAAACGTGAGAGGAACTAGTTTCCTGCACCCTAGCAGAAAGCATTTGGTTGTTTGGTTGGTGTTTTTGAGACAGGGTTTCTCTGTGTGTAGCCCTGGTTGTTCCGGAACTCATTCTATAGACCAGGCTGGCCTGTAACGCAGAGATCCACCTGCCTCTGCCTCCCGTTAAAGCCTAGAAATGCATTTAAGAACAATGTGATTGCTATTGGAGGGTTAGAGTATGTGACTTGTTCATTGCCACAGCTTGTGTGCCACTAGAGTTCATCTAAAACCAGGAGCGCTCAGGTGTGTTTTGGGGCCTTGGCACTGGTTTAGCAGAGTCAGGGTATTGGTGAGCAGTGAAGGAGAGAGGGGGCCTGGATGGAGTGCGGTCCTGGCACGTTCCCCGGCTCAGGCTCACTGCGGCTCCCCACAGTGTCTTGGCATCTGTCTCCCAGGAGCCCAGAAGCTTCTCCTTGTATATACATGCCCTTGGGGGCTGTGTGTGTGTGTGGCTGTGTGCGTGCGTGTGTGTGTCTGTGTGTGTGCGTGCATGCGTGTGTGTGGCTGTATGTGTGTGCGTGTGTGTGCGTGCGTGTGGCATATGTGCGTGTGTGTCTGTGTGTGCATGCGTGTGCACGTGCGTGTGCGTGTGTGTGTGCGTGCGTGCGTGTGTGTGTCTGTGTGTGTGCGTGCATGTGTGCGTGTGTCTGTGTGCCTGCGTGTGTGTGGCTGTATGTGTGCCTGCGTGTGTGTGGCTGTATGTGTGCCTGCGTGTGTGTGGCTGTATGTGTGCCTGCGTGTGTGTGCGTGCGTGCGTGTGGCATATGTGCGTGTGTGTCTGTGTGTGTGTGCGTGTGTGCACGTGCGTGTGAGTGTGTTGTGTGCTGTGAGTGTGTGCGTGTGAGTGTGTGCGTGTGTGTGTGTGCGTGTGTGTGCGTTCGTGCGTGTGGCATATGTGTGTGTGTCTGTGTGTGCACGTGCGTGTGAGTGTGTGCGTGCGTGCGTGTTTGTGCGTGCATGTCCTTTTGCCTAGCATTGCCAAAGAGGGAGAGACACTTGTTCTCAAACCACCGTAAGTAAATGGCCCTTCTTTCACAGCGACGTGTCTTCAGTGTCAGTGCAGCTGACTGTAACGGGACCCTTCCCTAAAGAGTGACTGTTGTGAAAATGACTAACGTTCTGGGGTTTTCCCTGGCAATGGCTGCTGCCTTGGGATTCAGTCATTCCTGTAGGCCCTGGGTCACTGATCTTCACTCCTGCCTCCTCAGTCCTTCTCATGTTCCCAGCCCACCTCCCCCAGACACACACATACACGTGCACACACTCACATGCACTCACACACGTGTGCGCGCACACACACTCACACACGCACTCACACATGAATGCACACACTCACACACGTGTGCACACACATACGCAGGTACGCTCACACACACATTCGCACACGCGCACTCTCACACATACTCACACATGCACACACACTCACACACACTCTTACACACCCGCACTCATGTGCATGCGCACACACGCGCGCGCGTGCCTTCCCCTCCCTGTCACCTGATGGCTCCATCGCTGGTGCCCTGTAGTTTGGAAGACTAACCCTCTTGATGCAATGAAGAAATTTCACTCTCCCCTTTCCCATTTGCAAAGAGGAGACCTAGGTGAGCACTCTCTATCCCTCTTCTGGAAGTAAGGCAGCTTACCCTGACCTTCGCCGCCCCCAAGAATGAAGAGCTTAGAAAACTAAGGAGAAGGACTGGAAAGCCCAGGAAACAGCTCACAGGGTTTAAAGGTTAGGGCTTTGAAAGGTCCATTTATTTTGATTGTGTGGATTTTCGGTTTGACACACATGCTACCTCAGGTGTGTGTGTGAAATTTTGCCCAGTAAATGGCTGGATATTTAAGCTAGGGTTTATACCTTGTCTCCTACTCCCCTGTGCCCAGTGAGTTTCACCAGCTCAGATGTCCCAACAATGGATGAAAGAATGAATGGGAGCCAGCCAGGGTTCAGTGGAGTGGCCCAGGAAGGCGCTAGCCACCTCAGCCTTAAAGGGACAGAGCACGGAGGACCACTAGGCCAGAGCTACAGGAAGCCTGGAAGACATGCCCTTTCTCCCTCCCATGTCTTACTGGGTTTCTCATTGGTTGAGCCCACAAGCCAGCAAGCAGGTATCGCTGGGATTGCATCCATGGAGGTGAGCAATCCTGGCACACTCAGAGTCAAGGCTGGGACCAATGGGAAGCCGTCAGCATGCTGTCCCTTCCTCGTCCACGGCATACCCAAGAGTTTTCCAGCTTCTGCACAGAACTCGGTGGCTCGTAAACGGCCACGAGGTGCAGATGGTGGCCTCTTCACTTCTAGACCCTAAGCTTGCTGAGCGATGGTGAGTAGAGGGGATGGCTCCTTTCTGCTCGCAGAGAGTCTGGGCACATGAGTCAGCCTCCTGCTCACACTCCTCTTCCTTTACTTCTCATTCCCAGTCTGTTTGAGTCTGCTTTCCCTAGTCCTAGGCACTAAGGAAGTGACTGAATGACAGTCCAGGCCACAGCCCACCCCACACCACCCCGAGTCCCCTCCAGATGACCTCAGGTTCAGAAGTTAACTCCAGGTCGGCGTCTGGGATATCTTTAGTTCAGATCATCCTTTTTCAAAACTGTATCTCCTTCCTGGTGTCTTGGCTGTCTTTTTTAATACGGTCTGTTCTGGGAGCCAGGCTCCTTAGGCCACCCTTAGCCATGCGATAGCTTGTGTATCCTAGAAACTCCCTGCCCAGAGACCTTCCAGTTTCCAGTGTTTCTCTTCTGGGCTTTTCCCATTTTTACCCCAAGTACCAGTCTCCAGACTTGGTCTCCACACGCGTTAATATAATTGGCATTGGACTACGTGACACCTAGAACTTATGGCGTGCTAAAGGTTAACCTGGGGGAGTGACGCCCTCAGAAAGCAAAGTCATGCTACTTTAGCCAGTCTCTGTGACATCTCTTAGAGCTCTGTGACATCTTCCTTGGAGCCTGCTGTTAAATTTTTAATTTCACCAAGGCCCTGTTTTGCCAAGTGCCCATAAAAAATATGTTTTACATTTATTTCTAATTTTAAAAGCCTAATAAATACCCATTTTCTTAAATAAAGTTGTGCTGCACAGAATAGAAATTACCCTGCAACCCAGGAAGCTTAAATTATATTTGTGGAACTCAGACCCCAGTGTCCAAGTACAAAGTTGGGGTTTTATAGCTAATTGCTTGGGTTTGGTTCCCACATGTGGATCGTAATTCATAAAGAAGCCTAGAGCAATAGGAACTGGTTATTTTATTAAGCCAGCCAAATGATCATCTGTGTAGGATGTAAGATGTTACTCCCCGCTCTTTCATGAATGGTAGAGAGTGATGTCATCTTAGACCACCATTGCCTACTTTATTTACTAATGATATATTGTGAGCATTTCAGTTTAAAAACATTGCTATTCTCAAGAAGGAACTCCTGGGAAGTCACCTTCATAGCTATGAAACTCTAAGTTATTATTTGTCAACAAGCGGTCAGGAATCCAAAGACTCAGGTAAAGAAAAGAAAAATGATTAGAGCTGACAGAAAATTCTAGCAGCACTGCCCTGATTAATTAAGTGCTAATTTTTTCATTGTTAGTTAATAACTGTCATATGTTTATGCTTTTAAGTCTTGACAGTTTTCAGGGTGAAAATAAATCTTCGTTGTGCATCCGCTACGCTGTAATTACTTACAGAGTAACAACGAGAGACGCTTTGGTTTGATTAAGAAGCTGCTCGTGGTCAAGGGCTGTTTCGGGGGCCACTTATCTGGGCGTCGCCTGATTTACCATGTGTGTGCTCTGGGGTTGGTCTTCAGGAAAAGCTGCTGGTGGTGTCTGTGGTTTACCAGGGTTTGACTCCATAGTCATTTTTTCTGTATGGTCGGGTGACTCATCCACAGAGGCCTGGTCCGCCCAGGAGACCGACTTCCCTTCCCTGGTTAGCTGAGCTCACCAGCATCCAGAAACATACAGCCACTGCAGGGTACTCGGTTGCTTGGCTTCTCCTTCGTCAGTTCGACCCCTCGGGATCTTGAGGGACTGACTAGCAGGGAAGGAGATGGTGGGTAGAGTCCTCCCTTTAAGCCAGAATGAACCAGGAACATGGAAATGCCATTCAAAGCAGTGTGCGTGCTATCACACACACACACACACACACACACACACACACACACACACACACACGGTTGTGTGCAAGCCATCAGCTCTTGGGGGTCACGCTGCTCTTCCGTTCAGGAAGGTGCCTTCTTTCCTTCCATCTTAGATGGTTTCATTTTGTTTCTAGAGAATTCAGGCGCCGAGGAAGCCGAGGCATGCCTGCTTATTTCAAACAGTGTTCAGCAACTGGGAGGAGGTGAACTCATTCAGGTTAAAAGGAAGGCATTTAAGAATCACTAACGACCTGATTTCTGCTCTCACAAGAATTGTAGGAACAGCATCAGTGAGCCCAGCTAAGCAAACGCCAGGTGCTTGTTTTATACCAGGGTCGTGTTTAATTCCTGTCAGTAACAGACAGGACTCGGAACTGGTAATGTAGGATTCGTGCAGTTTATAAGAAGCAACTTTCCCAAGGTCCCCAGCTACGGAGGAGCAGAGTTGCCATGACACCCAAGCCTGGAGTAAAAGAACCAGGTTGTCAGGGACCCCACCCATCTATCCATCTGTGCTAAGACTTGTTTTAACATCATTAATGAGAGTTTCTAGTTAACAGTTTTCCTCCAAATAGGGAGGAAACACACTTTATAACCAGTGACGTCTCAGAGTTTACCCGGAATGACTTATGTGTATAAGGGTAGCTACATTTAGAAGCCGGTGTTTGTTGTTTGTTTGTTTGGACTGAGTCTATATAGCTCAGGCTTGCCT